AAGTCGACAAGGAAGCGTTGAAAAGTAAGTATAATAACTGCAACTTTATTCTTTTCAATATTTATTTGATCGAAATATCCACTGGGTTGGCTGTTGGCGACTTACTTAAACAAGACATTGTACATTAATGCGTTGCCGATGAATGCATCGTCGTAACTTTAGTCTGTCTAGAATATCCAACTGAAGAAAATCAAGCGATGTCCAAAACTTCACTTGTTTCAGAACACAACACTGATCATGAGAGACAGCTTGTTTGCAGTGTAATGCACCTTGTATTGCAATCTAATGCCATTCTTACTCTTTACAGACAGCTTAGAAAAGAGTATGGCCTAGATTGCTAAAAAGGGAAAAAAGTATGGAGGAAAGTCTTGACCATTATGATAGCTCAAGTATTGAAGATGAAATTGAAGAAGAACCTAAAACCTCTGAATTTTCATCCGAGGATATCTCTTTAGAAGAAGAATTTTCAAATTCTGATGCTTCATTAGAAGAAGTGGATTTATTAAAAAATAAGATGTGAGTACCATATAAAGTCTGTTGCTCTTTTTGCTTATGAATCTGTAACATCCCAAAAAACCATCTGTCTCGTTGCATTTGTATATACTACATTTTTAACTGCCTAAATGTGTTATGTTCATACATCTACTGTTTTATCCCCTTTTAGACTCCTTGTCCCGTATCTCTAAGCCTGGGTTCTAAATTCATCATTCATCTTGAGCTTCACTTTTAAAGTAAAATCTTACTTTATTTCTTTTTCTGTTACATGTAAATGTTCATAAACAATTTTTTCAAAAATTATTTCAACGTAATTGTTTTTTTCAGAGATAAAGATTCTAGGAATGAGAAAACAGAACCTAAGTTCATAGTTTGTCTTTCACAACTGCTGTTACTTTTTAACATATGTCCATGATGCAAAACAGAAGGACCGAAAGCTGTGACCACTGCTGTTGGGAGAATGGTAAAGGTGAAAATCCAATGCTTCAACTCCAATTGCTCCATGCCAGTGCATACTTGGACAAGTCAACCTCAGATGACGAGACAAAAATGGCAGCAGGAAATTTTTTGCTATGTTTTTCAATTTTGGTATCTGGACCTTCATCAAAGTGCTTTTGGTCTTGAGAAACATGGGACTTCACTATTTTAGTCTGAAAACCTATTTCAATCACCAAGCTGTACGTACACAATACGTTTTTGTCAGTTGTCACTTGGGCAACATTTTATAGTTATGTAATATAAATTACCATCAATTCATGCATGTTTTTTTTGATAGAGCACTGTGTTTCTTCTTTTATAAACTAGAAATTAAATAAACTGTTTCCTGCCATTCAACTGTATTGGAAGAAATACCAATTAGATCTCATGCAAAGGATCATGGATACAAAGAAGAACTTGGTTATTGCTGGTGATGTGCGACATGATAGCATGCGTCACAGTGCAAAATATTGTGCTTACACCTTATTTTGTTGCACTGTTCCATTCATCATTTATTTCTGTTTAGTTTAAGTAGATAAGACATGTAACATGAGAAATTATGATATAGCTAAAGTGTAGTTGGCTAAAACTGTTCATTTATGTGAAGCATGCTATGCTGCACAATACTGTGCTTTGCACAAAAAGTTTGCCACTTCATGTTATTGACCTGTCTGCATTGTCATTGATTTATTGTCATTGATGTGTTTGAGAGGAACGTAGCAGGGAGTAGCCAAGCAATGGAGTTGATGGCTTTTAAAGATTGTCTTTAAAACCTACTAGCTAGTGGGCTCCTGTGGAAAAAATTCATCAGTGGTCGTTACTCCTCAATTACCAAATACATGCATGACAATATTGAGCATGTGAAACACTATTTTGACTTTTGGCATCGGAAAAAGAGTTGAGTGTTACTTACATTTTACATAAGATCGTATAAGGTATGCAATTTTGAATCATTCTTGTCTCATATTGCCAACAACAGCATGATAAGCACATGCAAGATAAGGAATTCTCAACTTCCCTACCCGATCATACACAATTAGAGGCTCGTTAGAATATAGCCCGAGTTCAACGTTTGTCTTGGCAATTTCGCCATCATTATCCGAAACGATTGTCTAATAATGTCTAAAATTTTATAGTATTGTTTATTTCTAGTCGAACACCATTAAGTTCTATAATAACTGAAGTGGCTAAGTGGACTGGGATCTGACCCCCCAAAAAAGGCGGCCAATGGACCTATTTCCTCTGAAATGATCGCTTTGCAGAAAAGTTATATTCTTGACCTTCCCTCTGAGATTGATGATGACTTGCGGCAACTGTATTATCCAGTGTGTTTTTTACAACTAAATTGTAAAATCAAGTCACATCTCTTTATTAAATTATTTTAGTAGAATGTTGTTTTAAAGTTACTTCTATGTAATGCATGCCTTATTAAAGCATTAAAGAATCAGTGATGAAAACTTCAGTGCTACATATTTCTTCTTAATTTCAGATTTTGCCGTAAAAACACTTTGTGCTCGATTATCTAATAAAGTACAGAATGGCCATTTGCCATTTGCTAAATTTTCCCCTTTATTATACCAGGGAAATGTTTTGTTTTTTCCAAGTTTTTCTTCAGTTTTTTGCTTCTTAATTCATTTCATAATATGAATGAAATACAGGTAGTACAGCTTAATAACTCTATAGTTTCTAAAAAGCTGTTAAGGTTCTAGCATTAAAAAACACAAAATATGTTTAATTCATTTGGTTTTATTGCCTTTTTTTACATGTGTACATGCACTTCATCACTTTTGTATAAACAACACCAGATGTTGCATACCTAGAGGGAAAAAACACCATAGCAACTGGTATTAAATATGGGTATAAAATTTATTATTGAGGTGAAAGCTGTATTAGTCAATCAAATTTTTAACTCACATGGCTAATAAGAAACACATAACAAAAAGAAAAAGAAGGGAAGTATTAAATTCACAATTTTGCATTCGTGTATTCAAGTATTATAAACACTATTGTAATTTAAGTGTTTTAATTATTTGCATTTTTGCCATTTCACAATCATTACAACGAAATCAAATATGCTACAACTTGACAAGTATTTGATGCAGTTCTTGTTCAGAAGACCACAAAAATCTCAAAGGTTTCCATGATTTGTGCACAATATTTTTTTTCACTATTCATTTACAAAACGCGAGATACATGTACAAAAACAAATCCTACAAGCAAATCATTAAACGACAGTTACGATGCGCACATTTGAATTCCTGTGGCCAAAAAAGCTCGTTCGTTAAAAAAGGCATCTGTCGTAGAAGCCGACAATTGGCAACCACAGTAGACTCGCTTTTATGAAAATTACGTTTTTACAGTGATTTTCATCATAAAATTGCTTGCCAAATATGCGAAAAACACATATACTTTTCCTTATTTTATCTAATGGGGAGAAAGTGTGACATTTTCGGAAAAACAGTCAATTTCGGCAAATCTCAGCGGTAATGAAACAAATCCTCTATTTTTTTTGGCGTCAGCCGCTAATTAAAGCCGCGTTTCAGATAGGCGTTCCAGTTAATATAGAACTCAATGGCGAACACGAGTTCCTTGCCCTACGTCACTAGTGCCAGCCTTCCTTGCTCAAGCTTCTCACGGACAAATTTCTTATACGGACGTTCTTTTTGTAAAAAATCCATGTTAAATGACGAAATACTCGAAAAATCAACCGAATATTTTTAGTTTACAGTTTGTACATTATATTAATCAGATAAAAAAATTAGGCGATATGCAATTTAATAGGAAATCAAAAATGATGTTCAAAACGCTAAATAACACGGGACCAAAGTGCCTCCGAGGTTTATTTACTTTCAAAAATGAGCTTTTAGTGGCTGTTTACATGATCCCGAGTAGCCGGGATTCAGTGGAGCGTTAAATGATTTTCGCAAATAAAAAGATTTAATACTTATCATCAGATAAATGTTCTTCAGCACTTTCACAATTGGCTGATTTAATAACTATACGCATAACATTCAAAATCAAACAACAAATTTGACCTAATTTGAGAATTACAACAGGAATTACTTGCGGCGCTTAACAAACAGTTGTAATTTTTTCGCTTGAAGTTTTGCCTCTTTTCACTGCGTCGAAATGTATTTAAGCCTCACTGAATCCAGGTTAGCTTGGGATCATATAAGCAGCCCCTTAAACTATAATATTTGTGGGAGCCACAACCACTGATATGTATATTAGACTGGATAACGCATCTCTTGTGAAAATTGAAGCCGGAAGATCGATCATTTGCTACTGGCTTCATGGGAGGTATCGGTCCCACTTTACTATACTTTGTATTACAAAATCACAGTTTTTGCGTTTTTATTCCTTTTACAAACTTCTGATTAAGGCAAAATTTTTATGACATGTAGAGGAAAACCGGTAGAGAGTTATAACCCTGAAGCTCTGTTTTTTTTTGGCTTTGTAACGACTAAAAAATAAGATGGCAAGTTATATTGAATTTTGAAAGTTGAAGGTGACAAAGACAATTTCAGCCATGCGAGGCATTTTTAGACGATGAATAGTTGAATTACAAATTTACAACAAAGAAAGAACAAAGGTATTTATATCTTCAACATTTTCATCAATATTGAAGTTGTTCACATAGGAACTGGTTGAAAACTTTGCTTCGCTTAATGACAACAGAGGTACTTTAATTCGCATGTTTTGATGATGTACATCTCGTAGAGTTTGATGATACCGTTTCCAACTTACTATTGTTCATCAAAATGTCTTTCTGATTATTTTTCTATGTCAATTTTTTATGTTTCTTCGCTGATATAATAAAGACGTAATTTGAAATTATTATGATATTAGCGATGTGAATAACTAGGTGTTGTCCACAGAGGTCATGGGTTCGAATCCCGTAAAGTGTTGTTAAATAAGTAAATTTGTAGCAATCTTCCATAAATGTTATTGCAGATGAAATTTTGGTAGCAGTAGTAGGATTCTGTAATATTTCTATGGACATTCAGGATTCTGTAATATTTCATTACTTGTGTAGTAATGTCCCATCCATCTTCAAACGTGACAAGAACAGATGATCCCTGAATGTCCATAAGATCCACGACAGCACCGGATATCCGAAGTACAAGCGATAACTACAAATAAAAATAGGCATGAGATACACCAAAAAAAACAAACAAAAGTCTATGTTTCAATACTTTCTTTTGCATATCCTTCAAGAACCTTCTCGTGGCCAAAAATATACTTCGTTGAATAGAGTTATCCATAGGTTACTGTTTTATCTTTATGGGAAAAACGTAAACTAATGTTCTTTTCTATTGACTAATGACTTTGGATCGTAGCTAGTTGAGATTTAATATATTTTTTAAACAATCCAAAGTTTCAAACTAGAACAAGAACGAATTTAGGATCGAGATGTTCCGAGGGTTGTGCATCCCTTCTAGCCTTGGCCAGATGGAATGCAGGAGGGGTGCCGATTTCCTTACAAAATACTAAGTATACAAAACAAATAAGGAAAAGAAATTGCGATTGTAGCGTTCAATGGAACAGAGTTTGAACAATTCAACGAAAATAGCCTGACTTTCGCCTTTAAAAAATCTCACCTTTAAATTGCTTTTGACTTCAAAAACGTACAGTGCAGCAGGCCCCCATCCTTGCTCAGTTATTGCTTTGTCAACGGAATCCACAACAGAAACACGTTTAGATGCATTGTCATTTGATCGTAGATTCATCGTTGCTTTAGACATGCTGACGTTGGCTGCCAGTGAACGATGCCAGTTTCGCCTCCGCTTTATTCCACGATACAGGATTTGAAGACACTAAAAATTAAAAGCATAGAAAATCACAGTTACATAAGCAGATAATAATTCTTAAAGCAAAACTTTAGGATTGATACGAAAAAAGTGATAAATGCAGCAGAAGCGTAGCTAGAGGGGGGCGCCGGGGTACATATGTCCCCATGCGCCAAGGTAAAGGACGCCAAAATGAGGCTTACAAAATTTTTACAAGGGTAAAAAACCGGTCACAAGCAAGATTGCAGCAGCGGCTGCGGCAGACGCATTGAGCTCGACATTTAAATAACTGGAATGATAAGCGAAGCCACAAATTGAAGCCAAAAATATTTGCCGTAAATCAGAAGAAGAAATTGTGCGCGTTATGAAGAATGCATTTGATCGGCTTCAACATGAGATGTCAACACGTTTTTCACGACTAAAAGACCTGAACAATAAATTTGGATTTTTGCTGGACGTTAAGACTCTTCTATCTGGCACAGATGAGGATGCAATTCGTCGAAATTGTGCAGATTTTGCAAATTTCTACAGCACGGACATCAATGGCTACGAACTTTTCATAGAAATTGGTGATTGCAGAATGCTGCTCCGTAACCGAACTGAAGCTCTACGAGAAACTCCTTTGGATCTTCTTGGTTTTATTGTGTTTTATGGAGATGATGTATTTCCGAATTTGCAAATTTCACTACAAATTTTGTTAACAATAGCAGTTTCAAGTGCAAGTTGTGAGCGGTCGTTCAGCAAATTGAAACTGATTTTGTCGTATCTGCGTGCATCAATGGGACAGGATCGTCGCAGTGATCTTGCTCTTCTTAGCGTTGAAAGAGAAAAATTGGAAACAACAGATTTCGATAACGTGACTGACCAGTTTGCGACAGTAAAATCAAGAAAAATAAATCTATTGTAGACTATAAGAATTATTTTTGACAATGACTGAGTGAGTCATGTGCAATAAATTGTATAATATTGCTTCTTCTTTAAAAATAATGGTCCATTAAAATGTGAGCTGTTTTTCCGTATACAGTAAAGTATACAATGTTATTGTAAAAGAAAATGCGATTATACACGCAGGAGGGGGCGCCAATTCTATAGTTTTCCCCCGGCGCAAAATACCCTGGCTACGCCTCTGAAATGCAGGTACATTTGCTAATGTTAATAAAATTTAAAGAATGGCAAACAGTCCCTAAATACTTATTTCATAGATAAATATTTGACAAAAATCAACAGTATCCATAAATTAATAGCGTAGGAAATCAAGCTATTTCTAAATCACTTAGTTTTAGAAAAACAATTATACAATTCATTTTCATTAGTTCTCGTTTATTTTTCGAGGATACTTTAATTCAAATTGTGATTTTCAAAAATACGAGAATCCACAAAACCGTACCCATAATTATAGTAAAGTAAAATATATTGCTGTGATACCAAGGGTGGCAATAGATCTGTGTGCATGTGGGAGAGGGGAGCATTGCTCTTGGGGGGGGTCACTAACATGTGGGGGTTGGGGACGAGCGTTGAAACGATAAATATAAACAACTAATCTACGGCAGATAAATATTTATCTTGCTCCAAGTTGGATGAACGTATTGCGTCAGTGTTTCCACCACTTGCAGCTTCACCACAGAGAATGATGGATGCCACAGAGCTTCGTTCAATGGCAGAAGATCGCAATAAAACGGCGAATTTATTGACTTTATGTCTCCACGTCGCAACAGGAAAACGCATTTGGCAATAATTTTTAGACACGCGCAACAAAGAGTCATGGGTTACGTGTTGTGGCACCACTAAAACAGCCGGGTGACTGAAAGAAAAATCCACAATATGATGACTATTTTTTTGAAACATGTTAATTTTTCAAAGACTTCTAAAGCTTACCCTTTCGCAAAACAAATGTATTATACGATAGTAAATATGAGTTTTAAAACACTTATGGTAATAATGAAAGGGTTAAATGTTCCTAAGTCTTATTGCTCCTTAAGTTAAATGTAAACAAACTTCGTAATGCAAACAGCAAAACGCAAAATAAACGAAACAAAAAACCATTTACGAAGGTGATTCGAAGGAAAAACACTTGGAACACAGTTAAACTATACAGACAATACAATTTAAACGATTTATTTTTTATGGACGAAATCTAGAAAAGTGAAAATCAACCCGTAAAAACATCAAGGACGAGAATGTAATCAAGCTTCGTTTCAGGTCAAATAATGCCATATAAAAATCCTTTTAATAACCTCGCTTTCTCGGTCTTTACTGAGAAATAAAGGAGGTGCTTAGCATAGTATGAAGCATTTTCACATAAATCAATGCAGGTGAGGCACCGCAGTATGGTGGAAAGATTTTCATTTGCAATCAAGACAATAGAACAAACATTGTAAAGACAATTTCCATCAGCCAATGTACTAAAACAAGTCTAGTAGAAAATATTACTATAGACTTATATAGTTGAGGTACATAAATTAGTTTTTGATGTTTGAGAAAGATCATGTCCAAAGAAATGAGCTTCAGCCATACAACAAATTAGCAAGCTTAATGTTATGTATCGAGGAAGAGGCTCATTATTTACTTATCTATAGGGTACAAAGCAGCCAGCTTGGAGAATTAGTTGCAATTTTTTAGCAAACTTTAAAAATTGAGGGGGATAATTATTATTTATATAACAATAGGGTACAAAGTAAAAATCTTAGAGAACAAAGTTGCAGTGTTATAGAAAGTGCTTCGATCTGAGGAGGTATCTAATTTGTATATCTTTATGGTCAAAGCAACCCAATTTCAGGAATGCAGTTCCAGTGTTATAGCAAGCATTATAAATTGAGAAGTAGCATTATTTTATATACATATATATCAATAGGGTACAAAGCAAACAGCTTTAAGGACACAGCTGTAGTGATATAGCAAGCTTTAATAATTGAGGAGATGGCTTATTTTCAATGAAAATACGAGTTCATTTTAAAGAACTTTGAGTGACTGACCACCATATTAATTTCATTTGATACATACATCCTTAAGGGCCATAAGCATATTTGAGTGATTTTTATCATCTATAGCAAGTAACTACGTCAGAATCTAATCTTACTAATGCACAAAGAATTATATGTCATTCTGACTCTGCGGAAAAGGCAATTCTGAAAATTCACAAGATCATACTCGTCGTCTTTATTCCAATTTTGCTTGTTCAAGCTCTCTCTTGCACCAAAAAGCGTTCACAAGCTTCTTCAGTTTAAAAATTTCGATGGAAATACCTTCTTGAATATCCAAACAACTGAAACTTCGACTTAGTATAGCGCAGAATATCAATACTCGCAGTGTAAGAGACCATGGTAGATATAATATGTATCAATCACTGGTATCAATATCATTGATTTTGGCAAGCTGTTTTACTACTATTTCCCATCTGCAACGATGTCACAGTCATTGAGCAACAAAATTATGGCTAGGGTGTCGATCCAGTTTTCATGGTGTCACTCACACAAAATGCTTGCGATGTGATTGTCTTGACACTTGATACCCTTTCCACGGTGTCAAAATATAGCAAATTGCGCAACATTCCAACCGCCGACCATTCAGATATTATTTCAGACAAAATTTGTACAATAACCAATAAGAAAAAGCAAGGCGTGGGGACTAAGCTTAGCTGGTCTGGCATGTCATGGCCGCTTATGCCACACAATAAATCTTATCCAACAGGACAAACTATGGAAAAACACACACAAAAAAGAAATTGTGGTACAGTTTGAAGTGCAACATGAATTCAAAATAATTTATTAAAATTGAGCACGGAAATGGCAGATATAGAAGACCAAGAAATAGGCCATAATAACCATAATGGCCAGTAACAAAGGATGTTCTTCTACAGCACTTTGATTGTTATACTAAAACATGTTTAATCTTGTGACCCTTGTCTATTTCAAGTTTTTACCCTATTGCAGGGGTTGGTTAAAATAAAACAAATTTTGTCTTATTTAACCAACTCTCTTTTAGTGACGAAAAATTAAGTTTAGGATGCAAAAACACGTATCATGTACTATTTTTAAGATGTTTTTGTAATCGGTGTGAAAGATGGTTAAATTTGTACAAAATTTGTCTTTGTTTACCACACTCCGTTTTAGCGATGAAAAATTGGGTTTAGGATGCAAAAATATGTATTATGTACTAGCTCTACGAAATTTTGCGATTAAAAAGAGAGTTGGTTAAATATGTACAAAATTTGTCTCTTTGTTTTTCAAACTTCACCAAGCGTTGGTCCCCACTTGGTGAAGTTTGAAAAAGATCACCACATTGAGGTAACCTTACACATTTGATAACCTCAGCTATGTTTACTTTGTTTATGTCTGCACAGAACTTTATATGGAATTTCCAAAAAAATTTGTTTGTCATTAGAGAGTTTGAATAAGAATAGATAAGACTCGTCATCTTGTCCAAGTGTTCTCATCACATTGCAGCTTGGGAGTATTTTTCACGATAATAAGAGCTAATAACATTGCTTGTTTTCTTGTGTGTGTGAGAGGGGGAGGGGTTGAGTTATCTTCTATGAAAAAAGTTTTAATTAACTTAAAGTGAGTTTGCTGGTAAAGTCAGAAAATTTGATTTAGAACCCAATGTGCTAGCCAATGTGCAAAAGAGCTATGCTTGTAAGAAAGTGATGGTCAAGTTTTAAAAACACCGGGTCTTGCTGAATAATCAATTTCATTACCAGCACAGATGTATTATTACATTAACTACATAAAATATGCAACTTATTCTTTATCAAAACTGAGATGATCAGTTTTTAAAATTGTAACAGGGTGAAGTAAAAGTTTGAAATAGACAAGGGTTACAAGATTTAACATGTTTTAGTATAACAACCGAAGTGCCGTAGAAGAATATCCTTTTTTACTGGCTATAAATAAATTTCTAACAAATCGGGGTCATAGAAATAGATATATCTGTGTGTAAATTATACAAACATTATTTTA